CTTCTTGTATTCAAAAATCTACCGAAAAAGAAGAGACACCCGAGACAAAGACGGAAAATGCGACACCTCCTACTTCCCCTCTTAATGACTCATCTCCTCCTCCTACTGAAGTAGAGAATAAACAAGAATCTGAAGAACAAAAAGAATCAGAAGTCTCAGACAATAACCATTCTTCTGAATCAGCAAATCCCGAAGATGCAAAAGAGAAAGAGCAAATAGTTATAGATGAGACACGTCCTGCACAAATAGAAAATGAAGTAACAGAGAAAGAACCAGACAAGGAGTCTGTGACTAGTGGACTCTCTCCTCAAAAAACACCAGATCATGAAGAAGCAAAGCAGACAGAAGTTGTGGATAGCAAGCCTTCTTCTCCTCCCCCTCCTCCTTCAACCTCATCCACAGCTCCTGAGCCAGAGGACAATTTTAAAAAGAAGGAAGCTCGGGTTCGAATAGTTTCGCCTCCTCCACGTTCACCTTCTTCATCTCATTCTTCTTCTGCTCCATCATCAGACTCTGATATTAATAAAGATAAGTTAGCCAAAGAAACAAAAAATGAAGAGCAGAAACAAGATATTCAAGAGACTGGCCCTACAGAAGACTTGGCAAAAGTAGAAGACAAAGCAGCTAGTGAGGCAGCTAATGAGGAAACTGCATTGGTTGATAAAACAGAGGAGAAAGGGTCTGTGGAAGGATTAGAAGAGAAAGGAGAGCAACCAGTAGCTGAAGGTGAAGAGAAAAACAGACAAGAAGAGGACAAATCACCCGTGGGATTGAATGAAGGTGAAATGGAAGAAGTAAAAGAAGAGGCTAGTGGAAATGATAATGAAGGGCCAGAGGGCAAAGAAAAGATTTCAAACTCTGAGGAAAGAAGCAAAGAGCCAACTGATGAAGGAGCAATTGAAGAAAAGAATGATAGTGAAGTTAAAGAAGGAGAGAAAGAAAGTTCAGTTGATGGCTCAGCTCAAGCAGTAGAGCAACTTGAAGCTGATAAAAAGGAGAATGAAGAGAAATCAGAAGCTACAGAAGGGACAGGATTGGAGGCTAAATCAAAGGAAAGCAATGGACAAGATGGGCCAGTAGGAACCGATACTGAAAAAGAGGTAGCAGAGTCTTCAAAGGAAAATGAAGAAATAAAATCAAACAGCAATGAAGTTATACAAGAAAACCAAGGAACCACAGAACTTGGAGAGACTGAGAAGAAAGAGGCAGTAGATGATGGAGCTAAAGAAGACCAACCTAGCAATACAGAAGAGGAGGAGGAAGGAAAGTCATCTAGACGAGGATCAGAAATCATCTCACAAATTGATCAAAATAAAGATACTGTTAATAATTCTGTAGATACCAATCAAATAAAAGATCAAGATGAGA